GTGTTTAACACACCGCAGCGACTTAAGTTGCTAGATATCTTGTGTTGCTAGATATCTAATGTTGACGTTGATGACCCAGCACCAACAAAAAATTGACTTTGCCACCACCATCTGAAATGCAAACTCCACCTTTTCCATTATTTTTAATGGGAAAATTGACTCCGCATAGCACGTTTTCGCTTAGTACGCACATTTTCAGAAACGCATCTATAGAGTTAAATGAGGAATTACTGTATTGTAAGCAAGACACAAGGGCTGTGTCTACACTGGCATGAATTTCTGGAAATGCTTAAAACAGAATAGTTTTCATTATAAGTATTTCCGGAAAAGGAGCGTCTACATTGGCAGGCTGCTTTTCCGGAAAAGCCCTTTTTCCGGAAAAGTGTCCGTGGCCAATGTAGACGCGCTTTTCCAGAAAAGTCTACTGGGCTGTCTACACTGGCCCTTTTCCGGAACAGTGTTCGGGAATAAGGACTTATGCCCGAGCGGGAGCAGAATAGTTTTTCCGGAATAGCAGCTGATTTTGTACAGTAGAGCATCGTTGCTTTTCCGGAAATTCAAGGGCCAGTGTAGACAGCTCGCAGCTTATTCCGGAAAAGCGGCTGATTTTCCGGAATAAGTGGCCCAGTGTAGACACAGCCAAGAAGTAATTTTTCCACTTTACTCTGTGCTGATTAGGCCTCAACTAGCATATTGTGTCCAGTTCTGGATGTGTCATTTCAGGAAAGATGTGGACAAATTGGAAAAAATTCAGAGAAAAGCAATACAAATGATTAAAAGTCTAGAAAACATGACCTATAAGGGAAGACTGAAAGATTTAGGATTGTTTGGTCTGGAAAAAAAGACTATGAGGGGAATACGATAACAGCTTTCAAGTATCTAAAAATGTTACAAGGAATAAAATTCTTCTCCTTAATCTCTGATAAGACAAGAAGCAATGGTCTTACATTGTAGCAAGGAAGTTTTAGGTTGAACATTAGGAAAAATGTCACGCTAGGGTTGTTAAACACTGGAATAAATGGCCTAGGGCAGTTGTGGAATCTCCCTCATTGGAGATTTTTAAGAGCAGGTTAAACAAACACCTGTCATGGATGGTCTAAAGATGGTGCTTGGTCATGTCATGAATGCAGGTACTGGACTTAATGACCTCTTGAGGTTCCTTGGAGTTCTATAATTCTGTGATATAAAGTTATCTGATAATTTCACACACAATAATTAATGGAAGAATCTGAAGCAGAGGTTTATTGTTTGCAATGCACACTAAGACTATATCTACACAACATGATTATTTCAAAATAAGCTATTCTGGAAGAAATACTCCCAAATAACTTATTTTGAAATAGCACATCTACACTACAGGGAAGTCTAAAAATTAGTCCAAGGCAGGCTCCACTAATGTGGATGTGCTACCTCGATTTAGAGGCCCAGGAAGCACTGCAGAGTAATTACTTTGAATGGCCTGAGGGAGGAGCAACAATGGAGCATCCACGCTACTGCTATTCCAAAATAGCTATTTCAGAAAAGACATTATTCCTCATGGAATGCAGTTTACAAATGCTGAAATAAGCCTCCCATTATTTTGAAATTATTTTGAAATAACAGGCTAGCAGAGTAGATGCTTACATAGTTATTTTGGAATAACGGACATTATTCCTAAATAACACTGTCGAGTAGATGTACCCTAAGATATTATCCATATGTGACGGGATGGACTAGGCTTGAAGCCAGGTCGGAGGCCTTGCCACAACCTGCCTCAAGGAGAAGGGCAGAAAGAAGTCCTGCAGGCAGACTAGAGTAGCTACTTTTGCTGCAGCCAATGAGGGCTCAGCACGGCAATATAAAAGAAGCTGCTGGGCCAGATCTAGGGCTGACTGGGAGGGTAGCAGCTGAACTTTAGACCTGGTTGGATACCCATGTCCAGTGGCTGAAGACAAGCCATGACAAAACTTTACAGAACCCTGGACAGGGTGCATTGAAAGCCTGGCCCCAAAGCCCTGAGAGACTGGACAGAGCAGAGTTTCAGTGTTTTGGGGAAGTGGCACAGGGAGCAAGGTAGCAGCAGACAGCAGAGACACTTAGTAGGTAACTGCTATTTACAGGGTCCCTGGGCTGGGGCCCAGAGGAGTGGGTGGGCCTGGGTCATCCCAACCTTAAGCAGCTACACAAGGGGGTAAAGAAGAAGCCTCGTCCAGGCAACTGACCAGAAAACTGTCTGGGATACCTTCACCGCAAAGACAGTTGGGTCAGAGAAGCATCAGAGACACCAGTGGCCATGAAGGGGTGACCACAAGAGGGTGAGCCCCTTCTCACCATGTTCACTATCATATTATCGTATAGCATATTAAGCAATTTTCTTCTATAGTGTGTATCTGCTTGAGGAAAGTATGTCCTCAATTTCTGTAACATTTTTGCTTACCTTCTGTTTTCTGAAGCAGTTCAAGTGACTTTTGTTCCAATTTTCGCAGTGTAATTTGGTCAGCAGAGATACTCTCCAATAACTCGTAACGCTGTTGCTCTAACTGGGGTGTTTCATAAATTACTACAGCTGACAAAAGTTGATCTTGCAAACCTTGGAATGTTACAGTGAAGTTGATCATTGTGACCATGTTACAAACTGCAGGGAGGAAATGTGGGTTGGCTTTTTGTGTTGTCATGTATAACCTGAAATCACAAAGCATTTTAAATGTCAAAGGAATATGTAGTGATACCTATCTGCATATGGGACTCTGGCAGACTTCAGCCAGGCTTCCCCAACCATGCCTCAATTCTATCTAGTTTTCCTCTCCTCCAAACTGGACTCCTCACCCATACACTTTCACCAACTCTAGCCACATATAGCAGTGATGTGTAACTTAAATAATCATTCTCTAGATTGCAGATGTTTAAATCTGTCATCTTTAGTCTTGCCCTACACCTCCCTTGGTCAAGAAGCTCAAACAGTCCAAAAGTTCCCCAGCTCCCAGAACACACAGCAGAAAGAAAGAGAGACTCACACCCCTGCACAAGGGTTGGACTACTACAGATTCTAGCACACACACAGAAGGAGAGAATTCAGGGCAGAATTCTCCCCAAACCAACTCCAACTTCCTCTGGTTATTCTTCCATTGTCCAATCCATCTTCTCCCCACCCTTTTCCTCTCTAACCCTTACCCTACCCCCCTTACCTGAAGCCCAAAGGTTCTCTTCCGTCTCCTATCCCTCTGATTCCTATTTATTCCCCTCTCAGGAATACCCACATCCTTCATGGCAGACTCAAACAGCTCCTCCCCATTACCACTGATTTTGCATCCTTAATCACTCCTACCATCCACATGTAATTTATTTTCTTTTAAAAAATAGTTCCAGTGCCTCCTGAATATTATGTATTCAGATTGCACTTCTCAAAAATAAAAAAATAAAACAAAAACATACCTCAAAAGATGCAGATTTTTCTCAAATGCTTACAACTCATTCTCAGATTTCTACCCATGGTGGATTTCAAACTTCAAAGTTTCTAGAATTTGAATTTAAATGCTTTTTTTCTCCTGGGAGGCTGTGTCTTGTTGAAATGACCTTCATTTGCATAGTTACCCTTACCCCTAAACTGACATGAAGCATAGCGAGCACGTGGAGGACACCTCAGAGACTAACAAATTTATTAGATCATGAACTTTCATGAGTAATACCCTCTTCATGAGATGAATTAAAGAGGAAATTACAGAATCCAGGGCATATATAACAGCAAAATAAGTTACGTATCAATCGTAGGACCAGTGTTAATTAAGATAATTAAGTCAGGGTGGATGTATCTCATTCACAACATTTGATGTGGTGATGCCAATATCAAAAGCAGGGAAATTGCCTTTGGACACAAATCACACATCAGGAATGGTAACACATAAAAACCTGTAGGGTGGAACATTTTAACCTCCCTGGACATTCAATAACAGACTTAGAAGTAGTCATTCTTTTACAAAAGATTGTTATCTCCTGATTACAAAAGGAGACAGCTGAACTGGAATTCATTTATAGGTTCAATACTATCAACTTAGGCCTGAATAATGATCTCAACTGGTCAACGCACTACAACGGCAATTTCCCTGCTTTTGATATTTGCTTCTTATACCAGTGTCAGCAGTGTTTTGGTCTGAGCCACATGTCTGTTCTAAACTCCTCATCATAAGGGTAGGATTCTCAGGTACTAGCTCACATATGAGGGTTAGGATGAGAGTCTCAGATCCCTTTAGAACAGTGATTCTCAGAGGCTGTGTCCAGACTCAAGGGTTTTTTCGAAAAAAGTAGCCTTCACTTGCGTCTAGACTACAGCCGCGTTCTTTCGAAATTAAATAGAAAGAATGCGGCTTTTCTTTCGACGGTGGTAAACCTAATTTCACGAGGAAGAACGCCTTTTTTCGAAAGTGTTCTTTCGAAAAAAGGCATTCTTGAATGCAAACAGGGCATTTTCGGAAGAGAGCATCCAGACTGCCTGGGTGCTTTATTTTGAAAACGCGGCTTGCTTTTTCAAAAGTGCTGGTTGCAGTCTAGATGCTCTTTTTCGAAAGAGGCTTTTTCAAAAGATACTTTCGAAAAAGCCTCTTTCGAAAGAGGCTTGCAGTCTAGACGTAGCCAAAGTGTGGTCCACAACCATCATGCAGGTGGGCTGTGGCCTTGGGGTTTACCTTCCTGTTCCTCACAACACGGAACTTGCACTGGTGCTCCAGTCCCATAGCCCTCCCAGTGAGGTTGGAGCACCAGCACTAGCTTCCTGCTGTGGGTGGAGGAGGGGGAGTGAGCAAGCTTCACAGGCTGTATCCAGCTTGAGGAAGAAGGAAGTGACTCTGTGTGCTGCCACTCCCCCTTCCTCTGGCTGGGTGAATGGCAGCACAGGAAACTGCCCACCTGGAAGCTTTCCATGTTGCTTCCACTGGCTGGAATCATGGCCAATGGAAGCCATGGGAGCAATGCCTGGCAACGGCAGGAGGCACAAGACAGGTAAGGACCCTTCATCCCCCTCATGCCCAGACCTTGTGCCACAATCACTCTGATGCATCCCCTTCATGCCAAGACCATGCATCCCCACCCTGCTCCCACACCCTAACACCTGACCAGATCTTGCACTCCCACCTTCTGCCCAGACCTTGCACTCCCACCTTCTGCCCAGACCCCCCTCCACCTGCTCCTGCACTCTACCTCTCACCCAGATATCCCACCTTCACTTTGCTCCTGCACCCTACCTCCTGTCTAGACCCTCACTCTGAGCCTGCTCCTACCCTCAACTTAGGCACCTCCCAGACAGTGCACTCCTACAGCCTACCTCCCAGACAGAACCTGCATCTGAGATCCCAGATCACATGGGAGGGGTAGGGAGAACAGCTCAGAACCTCCTATTCCACACATAGGCAAGTCTCCTCCAGAGCAAAACAGAAAGGGGTTACACCCTGCACCTTCACTTCTAATCACCTTCTCCTCCCAACAAGCATTTGCTTGTGTAGTTTCTTTTTTTCCAAAAATAATTTTAGCACCTTCTGAATATTTTACTGTAAATCACATTGCATTTTCCCTAAGTTAAAACAAACAAACAAACTTGTCACAAGCAAGTTGGAGCAATATGCCTACTTTTTTCATACCAGATTGCTGTCCAGGGGGATTTGAACTCTCAGGGTGTGCCTATGCTGCAATTAAAAACCTATGGTCAGGGCTGGCTTAGTTAGAACAAGTTCGACGGGGCCCTGCAGCTATTTTGGTTGAGAAAAAAAAAACGGCACACAAAAAACCCCCAGCTACCTCCCCACCAAGCCCCAAAGGTAGAATCATAGAACCATAGAGCTGGAAAGAGACCACAGAAGGTCATCAAGTCCAGCCACCTGCTCTAGGCAGGACCAATCTCAACTAAATCAACCCGGCCAGGGCTTTGTCAAGCCGAGACTTAAACACCTCTAGGGATGGATACTCCACTACTTCCCTAGGTAACCCATTCCAGTGCTTCACTACCCTCCTAGTTAAATAGTTTTTCCTAATATCCAACCTGGACCTCTCCCACCACAACTTGAGACCATTGCTCCTTGTTCTGTCATCTGTCTCTACTGAGAACAGCCTCTCTCCATCCTCTTTGGAACCTCCCTTCAGGAAGTTGAAGGCTGCTATCAAATCCCCCCTCACGCTTTGCTTCTGCAGACTAAACAGACCCAAGTCCCTCAGCCTCTCCTCATAAGTCATGTTCTCCAGCCCCCTAATCATTTTGGTTGCCCTCCGCTGGACCCTCTCCAATGCATCCATGTCCTTTTGTAGTGGGGGGCCCAGAACTGGACACACTACTCCAGATGTGGCCTCACCAGAGCCGAATAAAGGGGAATAATGACATCTCTGGATCTGCTGGCAATGCTCCTCTTAATGCAACCTAATGGCTAATGCCATTAGCCTTCTTGGCTACAAGGGCACACTGTTGACTCATATCCAGCTTGTCATCCACTGTAACCCCCAGGTCCTTTTCTGCAGAACTACGGCTTAGTTGGTTGGTCCCCAGCCTGTAACAATGCTTGGGATTCTTCCATCCCAAGTGCAGGACTCTGCACTTGTCCTTGTTGAATCTCATCAGATTTTTTGTGGCCCAATACTCCAATTTGTTTAAGTCACTCTGGACCCTATCTCTGCCCTCAAGCGTATCTACCTCTCCCCCTAGCTTAGTGTCATCTGCAAACTTGCTGAGGGTGCAATCCATCCCCTCATCCAGGTCATTAATAAAGATATTGAACAAAACCTGTCCTAGAACCAAACCTTGGGGCACTCTGCTAGAAACTGACTGCCATCCTGATGTCGAGCCATAGCTAACCCCCCCTCCTCCCGCCGCACAGGATAACCCTGCGCTCAACTCACACCTCCTGTGGCACAGGGAGCCGCCGCACTCCTCCGGGGCCGACGCCCCCTCCTGCAGCGCGCTCGGCACACTTCCGGGTTCAGGGCGCAGGGCCCCTTTAGGCGTGGGGCCCAATTCGGGGGAATCGGACGAATCGGCCTAAGGCCGGCCCTGCCTATGGTAGGTCCATACCAGCTGACTTGGAGTTGCAGAGGTCAGGATATGGGGCTGATTAACTTTGGCTGGAGCTCAGGCCCCATAAGATGTAGTCCACCTCTACAAAGGCCATACATTTATACTGCAATTAAATATCCCCTTAGTCCGAGCTATGTAACCCACAAGCCTGTGTCAGCTGGCACAGGACAGTTCTGGATATTTAATTGTAGTAAAGGTAAAGGCAATGCTCAGAGTCAAGGACAATAACATACTTCACAGCTACACAGGTTTTGTGACAGAGAAGTAATTTTCCAGATTGTATAGTCAGTGTCTTTCTCTGCACATGTACTTTATGATCTGCTAGGAGCATGAAGAAGTGTATGAGCCTTAGAACTGGTTGGCACATGCCTAACTGGAAAAGCAAACTCTATTAAAATATTTTGATTTCCCTCAAAAGGCTGATGAGTTCCATGTACTGTTGGGAAAACTCTTGAGCATAATACTGTTGTGATGATATGAGGCCTGTTTGATCTCTACTTGTGAACAAAAAGTGTCAGAATGTGTTTTCTGGGGGTTGTATCTTGGGAACAACTTGATCAAATGGCCCCAATATTGGATCACTCTCAGAACTCTGTGCCTCATGGGAATCCTAACCATATGCATTTTAAGAGCA